CACCTACTCCCTTCAACAAATATAGAATAGTGAGTAGAAGAAATACAGCTATCTCAACAATTAAAGTTGCAAAGAAACAGCTAGCAGCAGTACGTCTGGAAAACATCTAGTTTGAACACGAGTAAACGAGCAAGTACTTTTAAGTCCAGCCAATGCTGAGGAAACAAGAGGACTTGGGAAAGAGAAGAATTAAGAAGTATTTATGGGGTATAGGCCCGGAAGCGGTTAACTGGGAGACAATATGTGAATGTGCACAATCCCAGCAGCCAGAAACACGCGATTTTGGTATTTCGCTATCAGCTTTCTTAGGAGCAAGTATTCATGGTGTACTAGCCGAAATCTGCCTCACAAAGACAAGACCAACTCGGGGGCAGAGGAAGTGGAGTGTTAGCTGTCAAGCTCTCTCAAATGAAATTTGGGTGGCGGTTATGCAGGATAATAGATTTACCACATATATCCAATAGTGTTAACTGCAGGATTTAGGTTAAGGGTAGAGCTAGAATTAAGGTTACAGTTCAGGTATAGGTGAGGATTAGTGTTAGAGTAAAAACATGGGAATATTTACCTTTCGTGAAATTTATCGCAAAGTGACCTATTTTAAGTGGGCGGGGTGCTCTTTTTTCCCGTGTCCTGTATAGGCGACTATATAACTCACCCTTAAAATTTAGTGATATGAAACGTTCAGGCAAACAACTTTTCATATTGCTTAACAGCGAGACGACAGAGATCCACAGGCGGACGCGCCTGCCTACTAGTGAAGTTGGGGCATTCAGGAGCAGCCGAAAGTAGAAAGGTCATCAGCGAGGCTAACTGCAATATATGCCAGCACTGGGATCAGGAAAATTAAACATTCGCAAACTACGCAACAGTAATACATCCGACGTGTTTGAATACCGGTTCGGCAATCTCTTTGCTTATGAAAAATATCATAAGCCACCTAGGCCGCCACTAGGCGCAGAGCTGATTTTCAGCCGAATAATAGCAGTCCTAACATCGGCCACCCCACACTCCGTTCACTCAAACCACAAGCTCAACTAGTTGGAGATGATCACTGGCCATAACAAGAGACAAAATAGTGGCGGTTATAAAAACAGCGGGAATCAACCAGAAAGTCGATCGCGAAAGAGAGAAGGAAGAAAAACGGTGTTGACGCTTAAACAGCCGCTTGCTTTCAAATGGGCTAGTAACCAAAGAAAATGCGTCTTGTTGTTAAGATTTTCTTTTAGATAAGACATGAAGGGGAGTGGGGGTGGACATACCTGCCAGTTGGACGACCCTCCAGCAGGTCGCCGATCAAGTCGTGGAGCACAAATTTTTGGCTACTCTCCGTCAAGACAATGCGTCCGTCCAGCAACACGTCGAGTGAATTGAAAAAGGTCACCTTCACGGGCCGAACTCCGGCCTTGTTGAGCGGAAATATTTTTTTCACCTTTGCTAGAAAAGATATTTAATGTGTCACTCTCAGTGATCTTCAGTTTATGCACGGTAAACCGATTAGTAATTAAAAAAAAACTAAATTCACTGTAAAAGGGCTCATTTTGTGTGAGTGCTGCTTACAGGACTAATGGGATTGGATGCAAGGGTTGGATAAAGATCGTAGTCCCTCGCTGCTGTCCCGAGTCGGGGGCGGTCGCGGAGCAATAGGCAATCAACTAGCAGGGGTTAGACTTGAACGTTTCTGACTGCTATCTCATATGCCGGACGCCCGTCAGTAAAGAATGGAGGCCTAACACCGAATCCAGTACTCGAAGCAAATGAGGTTTAACGGTCAAAGTACAGGGCACAAGAGCCAGACTGCCGTATGATGTCCGCGATGTCACTAACTCATTAAAGTGGCTTGAGCGATTTGGCCACATTGCAAAGGCCATCGCCATTTCAGGATATTTGTCAATACGCGCTTGTAGATAAAAGATTACCTTTTGCTACTATCACCTTCAAAGGGCTTCGGGTAGGACAAAGTGAGTATATTCCGTTGGTGAATAATAAGATCAGACTACCGGCCCAAATCTACCATTCGCAAAAAGGTCATGACACTCTAATGCCTAAACTGTCCGTGGAACTACAAAGGTCAGGTTTAACGTATGTTCGGATCGCACTTACATGAACATAAGCTGATTGTGCGGCAAGGCGACGAATTAAAACATGCAGTTTTTCACACCTACGAAACGGACCATGAGCTCAAATTCGCAACCCTCAAAATAACCGAGTACTGGGCCTCGGATGGTAAATCGATCAATCGATATATCGAGCTGATGCCGGCATAGAGAGCCCTGCGAAGTCACCTCCACTCAGACATAAATGATTACGTGGTGCCCCCTAAGTCCCTTTTGCTGCTGCTACTATCGCCGACGGTGGACACTTGCACCATCAAAGGGTCTTAGGATAGAACAGGGTGAGCATCCTCCGTTAATGGGTACTCAGATCACAACACCGACTGCCATTTTAATTTGATTAAAGCCAAGCCATTTAAAAAACATGAAAACGGAGACCTCGACTGATAGAGCTGGTCTTTGGATCAATGTAATAAGGCACAAGAAAAAATCGATAAAATTAAGTGCACTTCACACACCCATGGATAACTGCAGTCACGAGTTTATTCAATGTAGGGATGTAAACTCAGATGTCATTACCCCAGTTTACACTGACTTCAGTGGGCGATATATAGCGAGAAAATTCTGCCGCATGACTTTTTAAAAGTAGTTTCCAATAACTGTAGGTAGGTCCCAATAATTATCAACACCTTGAATGACTGGCCACTCGAGATAAACATAGTGCTATAGAAGGAAACGGACTGTGAAGCCCACAACATCCTTACATTAGTAATGCAAGACAGAACGACCCCATCTCCCTGTAATAATGCTGACCTTGAGATAAATTGCAAGAAGGGTAAATACACCCGTGTCATAACCAAGACACTAACACTCACCCCTAACCCTGACCTTAACCCTTACCTCCTTACTCGATTTCTGGGGAAAATAATGCGCAAAACTGGAGTGAATCCTCTGGGACAAGCAGGCTTAGTCCGAAACTGAAATACATACTTGGGCCGAAATCTATCAGCTACCGCGGACTTACCCTGAAATATTAAAAAGCTGCTAACAGGCAGCCAGTAATATACAAATAAATAATCATGGTGCCTGCGCTGTCAACAAGCTACATGATTAAGTATTTCATAACCCTGACGCTAGACCCAAACTTACAACAACCATAATCCCAATTGGCCTGGAATTTGGCGCCAAGCCATCCTGGCTACGGGCCCCAATGTCTTGCTGCGGAGGTCTTATAAGTAATACCTACCCAAACTACTTCTTGGCGTTTGA